AGCGTGGCACTTGTTCCTAGTAGCTTCTTGTTACTACTAGTAAGGCATCTGTTACTACTAGCGTGGCACTTGTTTCTACTAGCTTCTTTGTTACTACTAGTAAGGCACCTGTTACTAAGGCGAATACACCCATTGCCAACACTTGGTCCTTGACCATGGGCACCGAATCCTCGGGAGCGATGGAGGGTTTTCCTGCTGGATGCCTCAGCCTGGAACCTGCGCGGCTGGGTTGCGGCTGCGCTCGTTTTAGGGGTTTCTCTAAGGAAGCAACTTGATTTTGTTATTATTATTATTACTTTTTTTGCGCACCTCTTGAACTTTGCCATGATTCGATTCATCATCGACTTTTGATGACAATCGCATCTCATTGGCTGAGGTCTGGACATTTCCCGGCACTCGCATTGAACCCGCCCCAACCCCAGTTTACCTTCTGAACATGCTGGCTCCTGGCAAACACTGCATGGTGGAGCCCACTTACAAGCACATTGGCATGATGTAATGGTAACTTTTTGAGCTCATTGACCTGATTCTATTTGATGCGCTATGTTGTGTATTGAGGTGCTGCTGGCTTGGACCAACAAGTCCAATCCAGTGTCCATGCCTGTGGCCATCTTCTTTGAGACAACCAACTGGCTCTTCTATTTTGAGCCACCCATGACGCCGCTCAGCAAGCTGGCGCCCATCCTTCGGATTGTGATGCCTGCACAGTGCGCCAAGAGTGATGCGCATCTCCGCATCTCACAGCATCGGCAAAACACATGGTCTTGATATGGATCTCACAGAATTGATTGAAGATCTGGCGGTGTTCAGGTATGAGTTTCTGATTGAAGCCACAGATCAAGATATGCAAGGTGAGCGCTGTGCACACCTCAGAGAAAGGGACCTGTCGTTTGCTTTATTGTACAAAATATTGTACAATTAATCATGTCGTGCCAGTCGCATTCTAAAGGATCGTAACGTTGCGTTGCACCTGTTTTTTTGTTCTCTCAATTTGGGAAGCTCGGGGATTCCAAAAACAATCCGGAACAAGCGACTCGACAGCAGTGTGTATTGGAGCATCCTTTTTTGGAGCATCCGAAGAGCCATTCCTGCAAGGCTACATGAGTATGCAACAAGAAGGCAGTTGCCGGCTTTGCCTGGCGCTCAAGTTGCTGGCTTGTTCCTTACTCTTGAGGAACAGATCGATTGAACATCAGGGGACAGTTTTGTAGATTCTCAATTCTCAAGCTGTGTTTACCAAATGATTAATGCTCAGGCTTCTTCAAGGAAGCTCCCTCGGGCGGAAGCTACTCGAGCTTCGTAGCTACTTACCTCAGCTACTACTCAAGCCTATTGGCAGCCTACCCCTCCCCCGGGAAAGAAACTTTTCCAACTGTGTTGAAGATTACTCCAGTGAGGGTTCTGTGCTTTTGTGCTTGCGTCTGTTCTTCAACCAACCTTCGAGCGGGTTTCAAGGCATGCCTAAGCTAGGGGATCCAGACTGCCCATACCCCTCTCGCGAGATGCAAGCATGTCTCGTTTGGAGTACCTGGGGGCTCAGATTGCGAGGTGGCGTTCCATTCCAGCCGTCAGAAGCATGGTGCGTGCGCGAGCTTTGGTAGTGACAGGGCGTTGCCGTTTGGAGGTTTAGGGTTGTAAGCCTTGAACGGTGAGAGCTCATTGGGCATTTGTAAGGAACATCTCGGTCACATGCTTTTCAGACTCAGCAGGTCTTCGATTTGTTTGCTGAGGAATGGAACCGGAAGAATGCTGCAGAGATCCACTTCCATTCGTCCAAGATCCTTGAACCACAGTTTCAGCACCTCCGGCAAGTTTGGCAAAGAAACTAGCAGTAGTCCAAACAGAACTTAGACTGTGTTGCAGCACAAGCACATGCGGTTGCAGTTTGCAACAGATCCCGAGTCAGCTGTTGCTCCATATTCAGCTCAGCCAAGCGGCATCGAAAGTCGCACTGACCAATGTAGTCTATCTCTCAGCATGCACCGGAAAAAATACACATTGAATTACAAGGGTGAGTCATTACACAGTGTGTTGCAGTTCTCTATGCAGTTGTGTTGCAGCATGGCCTCTCTGCAGTGGTGTTCAGTCAGGTACAGTGTTTGGGTGGTGGTCACAAACCCACACTCGCCTGATGCGATCGATGGGCCGTCGTAGCCTGAGACAAACAAAGGGGCCGTCGGATCCTTCCCCAATGCCGCGCACCCTTTTGGAGGTTCATTCGCTGGTCAGGATGGTATGAGCCTGGTGAATGGATCGTTTTAAGGCTTGTCTTGCTGAATCATGCTACTGACAATCAGCACATGTTGAAGCACAGTCGTGGTTGATAGAAGCACATGCTGTATTTTCCCTTACAATGAAGCAGGTCTTCACGAAGCACGTCTTTTGTGGAACGTGTTGTTTTTCTCGAAACAAGGAAAAGCACTTGGCTGATGGAGACCTTCTTCGGCGAGCCAGTGCCTCCGGCCATGGCGCCCTACGGCTATTGGCTGGATTATGTGGTGGCACCAGGCCCTGTGTTTTTACAGAAAGAGCAGTAGACGAGGATGTTGTCGATTGGTTTTGGTAGGCTCATCATTCTTGGTGGACTGTGTGTGTTAAGCGAACATCGTCATTTGCAAATCGCAAAGACTGAGATGTGGCAGCACTTGCAACCCTCAAACAAGAGTAGATAGACACATGATACATGTGATTGGGTTGCTGACATTGCGGAAGATCCGCGGTCTGGTACTTACTCGGACAGGTACCAAGATTGTTGGGCACTCCTTCGTCGATATTTTTTTCTGCATTTGTCAAGTGGATAGCCAGTTGGAGTCACTGTCACTAGTAGTCACTAGCTACCTAGACAACAGTGCAAATTGAGGTGCCAAGTGAAAGAGAACGTTGTGGTGACTCATGTCGGATGTCACCAGGCTATCGTGTGTCCGGGCTTGCTGAGCTTACTGTAGAAACGCCAGAGGTGTCTCGGCCAGAAATTGAAGAAGCACTCTGGGCTTGGAAGAAGAACATGATGTTTTTTTTCCTTCAGACCTTTTGCTTGTCATCCATTGCCATAGTGCGCACTTGTACTTCCCAGGGTTGATGCAACCTGTTTTGGAGTATCAACCTAAGAGTACAGTTCACTTTGGGAGCAGGCTTCGTCACTTCAAGCCAAGACTGACATGGTTCGTGGTTACCAGGACGATTTACAAGTCCGAATCCATGACTCCAATAATTGGTCCAAAGCATTACACTAACGTAGGATTAACGGAAAGTGGGCAAGAAGCTACTAGTAGCAAGGCACCTTACTAGCAGCAACAAGAAGCTACTAGTAGCTCCTGGCATTACTACTAGTAACAAGAAGCTAGTGGAACGTGGTGTTGACTGGCTTCGCCGCTTCGCTTCACAGGCGCGTGATGGAGGAAGCTTTGTCGACTGGGTCACCTTCACGGTGTCTGGCTCTGAGCGAGAACATCCATCCTGCAAGTATCTGACCCATTCATGGGTGTGGATGCTTTCAGAATACCCAACCACAATGTGTGCTTTGCCATACTTGCTGACAGCAAACACCTGGCCAGCCTGAACTCAGATCATTTCCTGATCTACTCCTACCAGGGGCCATACTGCCACTTTTGTTCTAAGTCTTGCTTTTGACAATTATACTCAAGGTGCAAATGTGCACATGCGCATACACAGAATCTTCAGAGTCACACTTCTTGCTTTTGCCAAGATGTTCAAAATGTGCAACACAGCAGACCATTTGTTTGAATCAGACAAAATGTAGTGGTAGACCAATTTCTTCCCATTTTCAACTTAGAATGTTAAAACAACACTGGAGAACTGCTGAGTTTTTTTGTGCTAAAAGATGCTAAACGTATTGATGGTTCTTGGAACCACGCCAGGATGTGATCGAGATCAGAGCACCACCAGGATATGAGATGTCATATTTGCAGCCAGGCTTTGAGCTCGAAACTCAGATATTGATTTTCACAGAAAATGCATTTGTGGACATCTTAATGTGAAATCTGTCCGCTATACAGAGAACCTTGGGTCAGACTGGAACCGAGGTTGGTGATTCTATGCTACGGTTTCCGCTGGATCCCCACCATTTGGCCAGATCCGTTGCCTCCGGATGCTCTGGCCTGAGAGGGGCGAATCCTTTTTGCAACATGGTTCCACAAATGAGATGGGGACTTTTTTGTTCGCCTTCTGCAATTTTTGTTGCACAAAAAGAGGCCGTGTTGATGAACGACTATATACTATTATGGCTTTCAAGATCCATCACAAGAGGGTCATAGTGCACCATGATCTTTAGATGCAAGGTGACACTTGTGATAACGTGAGTGTTATTTGCCGGCTCGAAGATAATCATTAATTCAGTTGAAGAGGATCTAGTGGGCATGGAATTCAATTTGATATGACATGATTGTTGCTTGCGGTGCGAACGGTCGAGATGATCGATGAACATCAGTTACTTGTAATGTTGCAGGTTCGCTTACACCATGGTGCGCACTATCGCCGGTGCCGGCATAATTGATAGTCCCTGCTCCACCCCACAAGACCGAACAGCTGTACGAAGAGAATAAACATACACCGAAAGATTTGATCCCCCCAAGTCGGAAAGACTGGCACGATCACGCACCAATCAAGAAGGTGATTTGTTGAACAGAATAGGATTGAGCCAGAACAAAGGCACTCTATTGCTTGCACCTGTTTCATACCCGCTGGCCAGTATACAATGTGCAAGTTTAGGCATGTTGCATGTTTGCTCCTGTACGGGTAAAAGTACATCAATAGACTGAAACGGCAATCAATCTACCACAAGAAAAGAACCAACCTTTGACCTATTGACGAAGATAGGCTGGTGGAAGAAGCTGCGCCAAGGCAATCCACCAAAGATTGACCAATGGAAAGGTTCTGCTTTCTGGAACACTTGATGAAATCTTTTTGGGGAAACATGTCCTGCATCATCAACGAAACAATGCCATTGGCTCCAATATCCATCAACGAAACGAACGGTTCTATTGAGTCTCGGAGATGCCACAGAACACTTGGCGTGCTTTGCGTTCTTTTGAGGTGGATCCAGAGACAATCCCCACGCACCTGCTGCCTATCCGGCCGCCTGAACGTCCACCAATTCCGGAGGACCCCACAGCTGGAAACGATCAAGACAGACATTGCCCGCAAAGAGAACACGGAAGAAACTGCAAGCATGTGGCACATGTATCCTTTTTTTCTCTGTCTAAAAGGGTCTTGTGTGCATGCCAGCTTGTGGATACATGCAAAGAAGCTGAACAAAAGAGGTATGTAAGAAAGTGATCATTTTCTCAAGAAAATAGCAAACACACCACATACATACTGTATATATATATATAAATAAACCATATAATATGGTCAAGCTGGCTTGGCCATAGCTATGTCAACTTTTGCAGCTTCCAGGGTGTCCCGACTTGGGCGAGTGGCAATTCCGTGCCTTGGCGTGAGAGTGATCGACTTGAGAAGGACTGGGAGAACTTTCAATTTGCACACATGAGCTTGTGTACACTAGGGACAAAAGCTGATTATTATTCTCTGTCCTTGTGGCCAGCCCCATGCTAGGAGGCCTTTGTCTAGTGTTTATACTCACACACTTGGTTTGGTTCAAGCCAATTGACTTGAGAGTAGTTTTGTCCAGCGCCGAACATCTCGTTGTGTTTGCAGCCATGTCCGATGCACTGACGACTGCGGGCATCGCCATGTTCGACGACGTTCTTATGGCCAAGAAGTTGCCGAGTGCTGTGCTGCAACGATTCAGCGAGTGCCTCATCAGTGGAGAACCAACACCAGAAGAAGACCAGAAAGTGATTGCTGACACCATTTTTGAGTGGGCACGTGGGTTGGGTGCCATTGACTTTGCCCATTGGTTCTTTCCTCTCCGCGGTGGCGGTGGTGCAGTGGGTGGCATGTTGGGTGCCTTCAAGAAGGACACCTTGATTGATTTGGAGTTTGGATCCAAGTTTGTCACCAAGCCCATGAAGGCTTGCTTGCCTCATGAGCGCCTTTTCCAGGGTGAAACCGATGGTTCTTCCTTCCCCAACGGTGGGCTGCGTGTGACGCACTCGGCCGCAGCATTCACCACCTGGGATAGAGCATCTCCACCCTTTGTGACGGACAAGTGCCTCTACATCCCATGTGCCTTCATCACACACTTTGGCAAGTGCATTGATGAGAAGACACCCTTGTTGCGCTCCATGGATGCAGTCACTTTGAGTGGTTTGAGGTTGCTGAAGGCCATTGGCATTGGTACGGATGCCAAGGCCATGTGCAGCTACCTCGGCTGGGAGCAGGAATTCTTTGTGATCCCGGCCGATCTCTACAAAGCCCGCCCTGACCTGGTGAATTGCGGCCGAACCCTCTTCGGAAAGTTGCCTACCCGGCATCAGCAGGGAGACCTCAACTATTTTCAACCAATCCCAGGAAAGGTTCAAGAGTTGTTGGACATTGCTCAAGCTGAGATGCTCAAGGTGGGCTGCCCCATGGCTGTGAAGCACAACGAAGTAGCCCCAGGGCAGCACGAGATGTCCCCGGTCTTCCGCACGGCCAACGTCTCCTGCGACAGCAATGTGCTCTTCATGGAGGTCATGAACCGTGAGGCGCAAAAGCTTGGGCTTCAGGTCCTTTTCCATGAGAAGCCCTTTGCAGGCATCAACGGCAGTGGAAAACATGCCAATTGGTCCGTGGGCACTGACACTGGTCTCAACTTCTTCTACCCCGGCAAGAATGAGGCTGGGGCCAAGCTCTATGTCACAGGCATTGCCTGTTTGGCTTTCGGTCTTGCGCAGTACAACGAGATGGTCCGATGCACTGTGGCCTCCGCTGGGAATGACCACCGCCTGGGAGCACAGGAGGCACCACCCGCGATCATCTCGCTGTATCCTGGCCAGGGCTTCGAGCAGTTTATGGAGACCTGGTTTTGCTGATTGGGTGATTTTCTACTTTTGTTGTGAGTGAATCCCCATTTGGGGAGTATGGTATTTGTTGTCGGTTCCTTCACCAAATCCAAGGAGAGCATCATCTCCGGTGGCGATTTGCTTGGCTACAAGGCTGTCGAACCATGGGCGCTTGATTCTGTGTGTTTTTCCGTGGGCCCCGGTCAAAAACAGCTGTTTCATCTTCGATTGAAGGTGGGCCCCCCAAAGGGATCTGAACGGGCACAGTGCCGTGGCAGCTTCACTAGGAAGAAATAGATGGTTCGTGCAAGGGTCAAACGTGGCCATGAAGGACTCTAAAGCTGTAAAGGTGAGCTGCAGTCGGGTTTTCCAGGTGTATGATTTCTTGTGGGCAGTGACAGTGAGGGGGAGCATCCAGAAGCCATGCCCGTGAAGAAGATGTGTCACCATGTATCAAGACATATTTTAAATTACACAATACATATAACATATACAGTGTATATATATATATAATGTTATATTATATATACTATATACTATACATACATACGGATAACAGATAGTGGCTCCTTGAGGTTCACAACACAGGTTCCTCCTTTGTTTGTCCTTTCACTCAGAAGTAGCTCGACACTGATAACATAGCTTATATAGCCCCCCAGCACGTTGTGTTCTGCTCTTTCAGGCGGAGAAGAAGAAGCAGTCCACCGGCTGCAGTGCTGCCATGCACATCGAGGCCAACGTAGAGGACCGGAACCGCACAGCGCCCTTTCCCTTCTGTGGGAATCGCTTCGAGTTCCGCGCAGTCGGCTCTTCCCAGAACTGCTGCTTTCCTGTGATGGCTTCTTGGATTTCTTGGATCAAACATTCTGATGTTTTCTAGAAACAATAAGCTACTAGGAACAAGTGCATCGCTTCTAGTAACAAGTGCCTTACTAGTAGTAACAAGAAGCTATTAGAAACAAGAATTATATAGAGTCCCTGAGATCGGTTTGTCCCAAGTCTTTGGTGAGCCGAGGTTTGCAATGCCATCATGTCTGCAGGAATGGCACACTTGGCTGGCTTGATTGAAGGTGGTATGAGCCATCGTGATGCTGTGGCGCAGGTGGGATGTGCCAACTCATGGGGTTACACTCATCCTTTCGTGGGACGGAGTTGATGGGAGATGGGGTCCAGCTAAGTTGGTCTATATCATATAACTGTTTAACCCAGCTGGTTTTGTTTCAATATGTTGTCTCAGCACAACTCCAGAGGTCTTCAAGGAGAACAAGCACGTGATCTTCACAGGGAATGGCTACTCCGCAGAGTGGCCAGTTGAGGCCAGCAAGCGTGGCCTGCCAAACCTCAACACCACGCCCAAGGCCATTGCCACTTGGAACTCTGAGAAGAACAAGAAGTTGTTGGAGTCCCTGAAGATCTACACCGCGGAGGAGACCGAGGCGCGCCAGGAGGTGATGTATGAGAACTACATCTCCAGCATGAGCTGCGAGGTGGAGACCATGGTCCAGATGACTGAGACTGGCATTCTGCCAGCCTGCGCGAAGGATTTGGAGAAATACAAGGGCTTTGAGAAGCTGGCGGGGAACAGGAAGGCGGTCTACGAGGGTATTGTTGAGCAGCTTGAGAAGTTGAAAGCCTCTTTTGCCAAGAAACCACACACCTCCCTGCCAGATGAGGCCACTTATCTCTGTGACACAGTGAAGCCACAAATGGTCGCGCTGCGAAGTGCTGTGGACAAGGCTGAGAGCCTTCTTGAGAGCGGCTTGTACCCATACCCTACCTATGAGGCCATGATCTACTCTCATCATTTCTGAGAAGAGGGTCTGCAACGGGCTCTGAGCCTCCGATTGCGAAGTCTGTTGTGAGGACTCTAACCATGGAAGATGAAAACCTTCCTGGTGCCATTGCACCCAGTGGCTGCTAAGAAACTGCAGCAGTGCAGTCAGTGGAGCTGGCATCCTGCTGTAGTTCAGCCCTTATCCTCGTTTTCGAACACTTGAAGCAACACTCGCATTCCAAAAGTGACCGAGCACCTTTTGTTAGTGATACCGAGAGAAGTTCGACAAACAAGAGAACAAACCAAAAATCTTGGCCCACCGAGTTGAACATCAGGTGCTTGAGATTCAGCCAACCGAGCTCTCAGATGACTTGCAATGGGCTGCAGATGGCGCCTGGGTCATGAGGCCTTTTTCTGCACGGGACACTGCTGGGCTCTGCTTATGGTCGAGCAAACCAAGAGCTTAATGACCAAGGTTTTTGTGCAACGTTTTGTGCATGTGTCCAACAACTACCTTTCAAGATGCAGCTCTAGCTCTGAAACTAGCCTTTGGCCATGTCTGGAGAGTGGGTTTCGTAATTTGGAGCTACACACTCTAGGAACAAGCTTAGGATTACTGTAAGCTATTTGACCACAGTTCATCAACAGCAGAACTTTCTCAGAATAGCGGAAGGCACTTTATCTCATAGTTTGAAACGAGCCACGCATCACTGGTGGAGGATGCCGATTAACTTCACTGCTGCCATCCTGAACGACTATGCGACCTTTCTTGTGCTTATTGAGGGCAATGACAGCAACTACAGTAATCTGCTTGAAACCCAGAACTCCTGCAGACGAAAGCCGTGTAGAGCTTCCTTTTCTGAAACAGGCAGAGAAATCAGTTGAACTGCAGTACCCAAATTAGCGAATCACAGGACACCTTTGAAGTCAACTAACCAACCGCTTTCGCTCGGGAATTGTAGGCTGGAGGCTGCATGAGCGACCGAGTTCCAGTACCTAAAGGCCTCTCGAATGGGCCACCTTCAAGGTCAGCCAGTGACTACAAAACACCCAATGCGTCAAGCTCTCAAAGTGACTGGAGACATGTGTTGATCTTCACAGTGTGCGATGAATCATTTGCACTGCCGTCTGGTTGTTGGCATGACGACCTCTTTTAAATCCTTCCTCACAAAGAGGCATTTGTTTATAGATGGCTTCTATCATACTCTTGTATTCTGAAGGTTCTGAGAGTGAGAGTGCAGAGCGCAGCTGGCTTGCTTTATTTTTGCTACACACCGTATTGGGGTTAGTCGGGGTTAGGCCCCATCGAATGCAAGTGACGCCAGCAATAGATCGTACTTGTAGGTGGTTGCAACATGTTGCAAGTGTACTTTTGTTGTGTTGCCCAGGATCGAGTTGATGCAGAGGATCGGGCTGCTACTTGGCTGAGAAGAAGCCCCAGGTTCGTCTTGGGGCCTGCTGCAGGTTTCCAAAGCCTACCAGTTTGTTGAAAGATGCAGTCCCACTCCACGAATCCTGTAGAACAGGCAGATTTCGGATGTATCATCCGATCCACAGTCCCAGTATCCACTTCTTTCTGGGGTGAAGTGGCATTGGCACTGGTCCCGCACCAAGGCCAGATTGGGCGGTACCAGCAGCAGCACGATCACAGTTGGATACCATGGGAAATGAGACGGTGAATGCCCGTGGCCCCAGTCGACCTGCAGTCAATCGCCTTCAGATCGCCAAGTGATGGAATGCAATGGCAGACGCAGAAGGCACTGGATCTAAGGTATCCTGCACTCCAATCAGAGGAAAGTGAAGTCCCCCACAAGGGTCTGACTTGCCATCTTTTCAGGCGGCCATGCACAAACTCAGGCAGTGTTTGGATGCCCGAAGTAAACACGTCAGGCCTCAAAGTCACAAAGGTGCGAGTAGGCTAAATAACTAGTAGTAACAGGTGCATCGCTAGTAGTAACAGGTGCCTTACTAGTAGTAACAAGAAGCTATTAGAAACAATAAGAGACTTCCTCACAAAACCCATCGCACTGGGGCTCAGACCGACACACCTCGATCACCCTAAGGTTATGAAACCTAACACACACACACACAGAAGAGGTTCGAGATCAACAATTCAAAACACAAAAATACAAAGAAATAAAACAAACACAAAACACAAACCTAGACTCAGCCCAAAACCAGAACTCAAAACCAAACACAAAAACACAGTCAGCTGGAGACTCAAGTAGCAGAAGGTTGAACAGAGGAAAAAAGCAACAACCGGACTCGAAGTGCGTGACCCATGACGCGAAGTGGCCCTGATTTCATTTGCACAGATGCACTCTCCAAAAGGAATCGGCAACAAAGGCAAAGCATAGAAACCATGACCAATGGGCCTCCAGTGGCCTTTGGCTTGAAAAAGAAACGCTTGCATGCTGTCATGCCGCATGCTGCTGCTACTTTTCAGTTTCAGTTGCCTGCAATTTCCAGCCCAGACTAAACAATTTATTCACACTGTTGTTTTTTTACTTGAGTCCTTACTTGAGTCCTTGCTTGATTTTTTCCTTCCATACTGTTTCTCTTGCTTGAGTCCTGTCTTTTTTTCATGTCCTGAGTAGACCTGTTCTCCTGAGTGTGGATTTGTTTTTCCTTCTTTTTAAAAAATGTATTTTCTTTCTCAATTTTTTGAAAAGGATTTTGGCTCTGTGTGTTGAGTTCAACTTCATAACGACCCTAAGGCCTCCACGGAGTATTTGGTTCTTCGAAGCCATTGCCTTGACCGCTTCGCACAAGACGCAGGTGGGCCTGAGACGTGCTGGGCACGGAAAGCCACAAAGTCATGGCATTGGCATGTTCATTTGCTTTAAAGAGTCCACGAGATGAGTTGGAGTCACCCAAGGGATGGGAACATGCCAAGATTTTTGATGCCAATTCTGGCACACTGCAAGGCCAATGCAGGCATTGTGTTCCCCACTGGAACTGGAACAAAAGACTGGACCCCCCCTTTCGCCGGAAGAAACAATAAATCCTACATACATCATTGACCTATTGAAGCATACTGGAATCGGAACTGGAACTGGAACATGAACTGGAAGCCCTCCCCCCGGAAAAAATAGAACAGTATTACCAGGGATTTCTATTTGAACCATGGCATTGGAACCAGGACCCCCCACCTCCAACCACCCAGCTACTTGGAACTGAACTGGAACTGTTCCAACCACCCGGGGCATACTCTGGCTGCAGTGAAGGTGGAAACTTCTTGAACGATGACTTCAACTGGTCGAAGGCGGCTTGTGGCATCGGTTTCAGTCGTTGCTCTTGCCGAACCTTCCTTCAGTTGGGGGAAGAGCTACAAGTTGTTGAATGTAGCGAAGTTATCATTAAGCGCTTGCAGCAACTTGTGCTTGGAAGAGGAGTCTGCGCTGAGTCGATTTTGACAGAGTCTAAGCAGACATCCACTTGTAACGCCACGCTCTTAAGCCTGCAAGACCAAGACACCAAACTTGGACGCCAGGTGCCTGCCAATGCAGAGTTCCAGGTGTTCTACGATGTGCATTCCTGGATCTTCCACAATGGAAGCTATGCGAACGGTAGAGACAGAGTCTTCATGAGTCTCTTCCGGATTTCTGTATATATATATATATAATCATGTTAACATGCGAACAAACATGAACATCTGACGGATGGTGACATCCGTACTTGCAGTTGGAGACGAACACTGTCCGTGCCCCTTTGAATCTATCTTGTAAGACTGAGTACACCCAAGCGGCCTCCTCTCAGCAGGTCACAGCGAAAGGCATGATGGTGGGGGGATACACTGTGGGCCCCCCCGAGCACCAGGAAATCGATCAATCAACGTGCTGACCAACCACTTTGATTTGGGCTTCACTGATGTCTACGGCATGATCTATTTTGGGCCATTGGAAACAGGATAGGACTGCTCAAAAAAGACATCAAGAGAAGGATACCTTCATTGATCACAGTGAGCGCATTCTTTTAACTCATTGAGACATCACCATAAGAACGAACAAGGTCATGTAAACATAACATATGATTTACACATAAGATACTCAAGTCCTCTAAACGAGTTCCACCGCTCAGCTGCTGGGGCAGCTCACTTCCAACACTGGGTGGCCTGCCGAGGAACGGTGGTGTCACCTGCTGATAGCTTCAATCTCAGCAGTTACATGCAGAGCCTCAATATGACCTACAATGCGACTGGAGCAGCAGATGGGGGAATCGGGAGGATGCAAGGATCTGAAGGTTTGGGAACACACAGGTGATTCTTCAATGTGGAGGGCTCAGGTCAGTGAGTATCCACAGAAAGTCCTCTAAGGCTCAGTCTCCCTAAATCGGCTCTGCAGATACTTTGGGAAGATCTTCTTCACTTCACACCACAGGGAGCAAGTCACAACCAGGTCAAGATCTCCATGCAAAGCTCTGGGTCAACTGTACCTATATAATTCAACCGGCGGTCAAGGCAAGCAACGTGACCAACCTCACTGGATTGGTCACAGTGGCGCGGAACCCCAAAACTCGGAAAATTGACAGGATGTTCCGACTAGTAGCTTCTTGTTGCTACTGTTTTGAAGCAGCTCACCTAGTAGCTTCTTGTTCCTAGTAGCTTCTTGTTACTAGGATGTTGCGACAGAATCTTGTTTTCATACAACTTTATGTTTTCACACCAAGGGCATTGAGCAGGTTCTGCGTACTGCCCCAAGGATGAGGTTCACCTCTGCTTCCGCGCGGTATTCCAAGCTTCCCGCTCGGAGATCGATGGCCCAGCAGCCGGGGCACTCAGAGAAGAGAGCGACAAGCCCAAAGCGTCAGGCTGTTGCGGCTTTCCGACTGTCAGAACATGTCCACATGCTCCACTGGTCCCTCAATTCTTTTAAAAGATCTGACTATGCACAGTGTTTGTCTTGTTTGCCAAGGCAGAAGCCTTCTGCTTGCAAAACTGCAGCAACACCAACCTCACCATCTCACAGACGTTTGGAAAGCCCAGAAGAACAAGCAGCAGCAAGCAGATACTGGTATATGAAGCACTCTGAAGCCAAAAGATGATTGGGACAGAGCCGGATTGCTGCAATCTCTGCGATAGTCGCAGTTGCCGCATAGCCCATATATATATATACATATATTCATATATTATAACAAGGACACTTGCTTTGCTAGCACATGGTGATTGAGCCAACAAGGTCTGTTGCAATATGGATGTCCTTGTCCCTGCGACTGGTTTGTTATAGAAGCTGTTTCCAGACCGTCCGGCCATTTGCTTTTGTTCTGAAGAATACTCCTACTTTGCGTCACTTGGCTGTGGTGTTGCAGGCTAACGGTCAAAGTAGTTGGAGCCTTCGTGGCACTTTCCGGCTCAAGTGGGGCCCACAAGACTTGGCTTGCCTAAGTGTCTTGTGCTAACCTCTTTTGACCTGACAGAATCAATGCCCCTGCCCCTACATATACAATGAGTTGTGCAGTACAATGGCCACTTGGAGCATCATAGCCAACCTTACGGGAATGGGAGGATAGCAAGGCACCTGAAGTCCCTCGCAACGTAGTTCAATTTTGCTTTGGAGGTCCAGCCATGTGGATCCCTTGTTCGAAGCCAGATCCTCCTCCAATGGAGGACTCAGGATCACTGGAGTTTCCCATGTACTCGTTGAAGGCAGAGACATTTTTGGGTTTAAGGATTGTTCTGAAACATGAAGATGCCCATGCGGCTGGCTACCTGGTTGAGTTCTCCAAGGATCAAGGCTCCGCAATCTTCATCTCACACCAATGGCTGAGCAGGTCCCATCCAGATCCCCAGGGAACACAGCTGCAGGACATGCAGAATTCTTTGAGGAATATCTTGAACGATGCTGGCCATATGCAGATTTCACCTCATCCGGCAACACAAATGTATTTTTGCTCGCAACCGACGAATTATGCTTCTAGGTTTCGTGGCAAGACATTGCTGATTTGGTATGACTACTTGTGCATACCCCAGGAGAATCATCAGCAACGCTGTCAGGCGATTCGCAGCATCCCCGCCTATGTAGCACGCTGTGATTTTTTTGTTGCATTGTGCCCTCCTTGCCAACATTTGGAAACGCAGGAGGCTTTGAATCAATATACTTGGGGTGCCCGCGGTTGATGCCGGGCGGAACGGATGGCTCGAGAGCTTTCAAGTGAGGACGGGTTGATCATATGTGTTGAGGGTGGGCGACATCAAGCATTTCTTACTGATCTCAAGGCTACGCAATCCCCTGGAGCCGGGCACTTCACAGTCGCCGAAGATCGTGACCACATTGCCGTCATCATGAAACACATGTTTCGTGACAAGCTGACACACTACCTCAGGCACGGAGATTTGCATGAATTTCGCTGGTACTTGAACCAGCAGGCGGTCTGCTTGAGGGGCCTCGGCACAGATCTCATCAACGACATCGGGGTTAACATTGAAAGCATGGAAGCAAGAACTCCTTTGGCCAAGTTCATGAAGAGGAATTGCTTCAAGAAGGTCTCGGAGCGTGATGCAATGGGTTGGACTCCAATATGCTATGCAGCGGTGAATGGTGACGTGTCAGTGATTTCTGCTCTGTTAGCTGAAGGAGCTTCTGCCAATGACCGAGTCACAAGGCGGGATGTGAAGCATCAGGTCTACAAGGATTGTCCTGTGTTGTCCTTGGCTGCATGGTTCTCCCATCATGATGCTTTGGAGCTTTTGTTGTTTGCGAGGGCAAATGTGAATAGTAGCGATGAGATGAGCTTCCCTCCTATACACTATGCGACAGGTGCTGATGATGTCAAGTCCGTGAGGATTCTCCTCAACGCACATGCTGATCCTTGGGCAGAAGGCTTCCTAAACATCGATATGTTAAAAACTGCCGCCGCACTGGGATCAGTGCAAGTTTTGCAAGAGTTGCTGCGCATGGCCGCGCCAGAGCGCCTGCAGCAGAGCTTGAGACACAGTTTGCACTGGGCAACGTATTTGGGAGGATTTGCCAAGAATTTGGAGCTGCTACTCCAGGCGCGTGCAGATGTGAACGACCGTTGTGAGACACAAACCCGTCAGTTTCCACTCTGGGTGATGATGAAGTACTGGGCTTTGCAACACCGGATCCGCCAATCGAGACTCACTCTATTGGCTTACCATCACCAGGGCGCGACACCCCTCATGTTCAGCCTCATCAACTGTCAATTTGAGGCGACCCAGGTCCTTCTGACAGCTCGGGCAGACATCAACCTCAGGAACTCCAGAGGAGTGACCGCTGCGGATTTAGCTCGAGAAGTTTCAGCCCCTCAAACTCTGATGGGCTCATTGGGCTAAAAGTGCCCAGAACCTACTGTCCACGGATCGAAAAGCGAGCTGTTGACTGGTCAAATTGCGATGTGGACTCTACTCATTCACAAGAAAAGAGATTGATCCCTTTTGTGAGGGATTGTATCCTCCAATGCCTCTTCACACCTTTAGCCGGGCCCTCAGTCCAATTTCAGATCAACGTGACACGGAGATTACTGTAAATAGTTGACGGGCTGGCGCTTTCTGCACGAATAGCAGTCTTTGATCGTCTTTCAAATGGGTTGCTTTTTGATGTTTTTCTGAAAACCCAACCTTTTCGTTGTGAAGGAGATACATTCTGAATCTAGGAAGCTTCACATTGCAGGATTCTCTTTATATATATATATCTTTATACAGATCTCCTCTTTCAGGCTCGAAACCAGACGCGGTGTGATGCCATTCCAGCCGTGGCCCAAATAGAGATGAAGTGAGAGGAATGGGTGAGCCTAGAATAGATTATATAACCCTGTTGGAGCTGAATCCAACATCAACTATGAGAAGAATCGAATAGTCCTTTGTAAATACACAGCCCAAAGGCATACTTTGACTCTTGCGGACTATCCGACTATCAGTCAGTGTCCCCACTTTACACTTGAGACCACATCATAGATGGCAACATTCGAAGGCTTTGTTGTCACGTTGCAAATTCAGCCCGCTCTTTTGCCATATAGGAGTTGCTTTGTCGCAGCATCTTCGACCATTGTCACCTTCCTCGACACCCACCAGCTTCTCTGTAGACCTACCACTTCTTGTGCAGCTGATGCATCATTGCAATCGCATGGAGCAACGAGCTTTATCACCCCTGCCCACCTCACGCCATTTTAGCCTCACAGGACAACAAGGACGAAAAATTGACGAAACAATGAATCCAAAACCAGGCACTGCGAAAGCCCCGCCACCTCATTTGCCATTCAGGGACTATACATACATGTGTTCCTTGCGCAAAAAATCGGACATTTGGTGTGTGCATTGTGTGCTGAGAGCTCTACCTCCACCGGCTGCCTTCTGATTTGATTCTGGCTGCAAGAGGGTCTGCATCAGGTTGCGATTGGTCCAAGAAACCATTCTCACAAGCGATACCTTTACAGAATCTATTGCAACAGTTGCCACTCAAAGACATCTCTACCAGCTATGATGAAGACTATCCAATCAAAGTTTTGAACCCGAGGTCGGCGGCTTGCCGGACGGTGCGGAGAGTTGGAACCTGAGCGGGAGAACGCTTCCGGTTCTTTGAGACTTGTCGCGTTCGACCCAGGTGGTAAGCTACAACTGATACCCAACGAACAACGCGAATCCCCACCTTTTGTGAGAGCCAACAGCTAGAAAGAACAAGAAACATGCTCCCGTACCGGTACCTCCAGATGTGGCGCAGCAAATGCTGGCGCCGCCAGCTTGTGCAGCAGATGCCGGGTGCCCAGTGGAAAATTGAAAAGACACCATGAAGGAGTGGTCGCAGGACATGTTGCCTTTCATGTCTCTGACCTACTGAATCTAAATGGAATTGGCCACAACGAACTAGACGTGTGTGCTGCGGGGACGTGCCTTGAGGTAGCGACGTATCTTGACCTCATGGCTCAAGGCTGATGTTTGCCTGTTGGACTTGTGCATTTTGGTGGATTTGCAAGTACCAATGCCTATGCAATGTGATCTGGCAGTCTACCTGCAAGCAGTCTGTAACTTTTTCATTTGCAGGAGATGGCTGCCCAAATTCTAGAGTCAGAGAGTCCCTTCAGAGTACTGTCTTCCTAGAATCCAAGCTATCTCTTTTGATGGTGTTTCTGTTGATGGATCACATGATGACCCTGGACTCTGGACGAAGGCCTCATTCAAGTCCCGGCCTTGGGCTATTGACTGTGGCACCATAGACAAACGTGGATGCACAAACCAACGGTTTGGGCATTCTGGTTCACTGGTGATCGAGGCCACACAGCCACATCGTCCAAGGGGCATGCCAACACCCATTTTGAAAGAAGCTAGTTACAGCTAGTTCGAGTTTAATCTTGAAAACAAAACCTAGGTAGGTAGATTGATACGATATGATTGAACCCCGCACTCCAACAGCGAACATCCAACCCTCCTCGCTGGGCTGCTTCACCTTGATCCATCCTGACCGTCACCGAGACTGCAGAGACCAACGCTTCGAACCGCAGCAACTCGACCAACAGCAGTGGAGGCCACATACATGGCGTGGTGATCGCCAATGGACACGGACAGCACTGGAATGAGTGGTTTGGGAGGATTTTTAGTGACTTTTCGGGGTATACTAAATTTCCGGGTTTAGTTGGTTTCCCATTCAAGTTGTCTTCACAAGAAACCCTCATTGTCGCCTGCAGGGGGCCCAAAATGCCCTATGGCCTGCGACTCAATTGGTCAGTGGTACAGTACAACCACTCGGGTTTACGTAAAGGTTGAATGCTCAACTTAGATCCTTCGGTGAAGCACACCAAAAGCATAATGAGTATACAGTATACAGTATACCCAAGAGGCGTATCCCAGCCTGAACATGTCAAAGGCCTTCTGCCTCGCTTCCTGTTCCTTCCTTGTCGCCTCTTCCTTCCTTCTTTTTCCTTCCATCTAAACCCAGCCAAGCTCGCAAAGCATCAGGTCAGATCTGCGATCAAATCCGCCGACCCCACACCGTGGGGTCAGGGCGTGACTGTTGATGTTAGCCCTAAGCCTTAGCCTTAGCCTTAGGCCCTAGTCCTTAGCCTTAGACCTAGTCCTTAGCCTTAGACCTAGACCTTAGACCTTACCTCCCCTACCCCTCCGGACCCTTGTTACAGTGACGAAATCCGGTCGAATTTCTCCAGGAAAGCGACCTGGATTGTCCAAGAATCTGCCATCCCCAATTGATTTACATCTTGGGGCACCCTCTCGACCCGCGCGGGAAAATAAGCACGGTCCAAAATGGTCCTGGGTTCGAATCCCGGGCTGGTCGCGGCATGGTCCCGGCCAATGCCCTTGCTTTTTCGTAGATTTTGTCACGTTTTCTGTTGGCTTATGAGATTTTCAAAGGCTTTTCTGGCATTTTCCTAGGAATGCTCTAGGCTTTGTCTTTTTGGGTACCTGCTTTGGTGGTGCTGGGTTGGGTCTAAATTGGTAAACCTGGGAGGTACCCAAAAAGTCGACTTTTTGGGTACCTGCTTTGTTGGTGCAGGGTTGGGTCTAAATTCTTGGGCAATGATCGGGGTTCATGCAAGAGCTGACGTCCGATGGTAAATCTGGGAGGTACCCAAAAAGTCGACTTTTTGGGTACCTGCTTTGGTGGTGCTGGGTTGGGTCTGCACTCTTAAGGCTAAGGCTAAGGCTTAAGGCTAAGGCTAACATAGAGCAAGGCTAGCGCTAAGGTTCTATCCCTTGGGGGTCGGCGGCTGCAGGCGGTAGCCTGGTAAATATGTCAAATATGTGAAAGGAGCATGCTGCCCCACACAAGCACCAAGCTGATTCTGTGCGGAAAAGGAGACGGCCTTTTCGGGCGTTGCCTTTTCTGTGGCATACATCTCTTTGCCTATCATAGGTTCTGCTTACTGGAGGGTTACGTTTTCACGATGGACATGGTAGGACTGTTCTGCTTGCTGCAGGGTGCTGTCTTTGCCATAATACAACTCCTGGTGCTAAGTACTTTTTGCTTGCAGTATGCAGATATTTTCCTGCATGCTGCCTTGGTTAGACAAATTCTTTTGACGTCTGAACTTCCCATGGCAGGTCTCAACATGACCATGCCGGATTGCAAGTGTGGCCTGCCATTCTGGCTGAGTTTTGCTTTGCTTGATTTTCCCTGGTTCTTTGATAGGAAGCATCCCCGGCCAGGCCTACCGACACTCTCGTTGCGGTGGCCTGGAGGTCAAAGGTGAATCTCACCAAGGAGGCTCTTGCAATCGAACAAGGGAGGAGAGAGCACGCGTTCTGAAAGTGAAGGACCATGAAAGAAAGATGACGTTAGGAGGAGTTGATGTCGAGTGATGCGCCAATCGCTGCCACCTTTGTTTGCAGAGTTCGACCTGTTCACTGGGCTGGCACAGGTCGAAGACTACCGGTTGGAGTATGAGGCATGAGGGTCTTATTCGAAGCACGGCATACAATTCGTAGAGGAGAGACGGTTTTGCTACCCGCTTTTGCAACTTGTTGTCAGTCTGTTGTTGACAACAGTGGCAAATCAGACAGGACCACAAGTCCTGTTGCAGAGAACAGTTTTTCGATTCTTTTGGTAGCGCTCTTTGCCGGTTGGCCGAACAAACTCCACTTGGCTTGAAACTGTTTGTTGACTTGCAATTGAGCAGAGTCTATTCTGACAGATGTGGGTTTGGAATTACGGGGTGATTGGGGTTGGGTAAATTACGGGGGTTGGCACTGGGAGGTTTGCTTTAGTATAAATTATAAGAGTTCCAACATGTTCCAGCTCATCCTGGAGAGGGATACGTTGAAACCAATAAACACATGGGTGCTCGCTTATATATATATAGTTTCCTACTGCTGAATGTCTGAAAGACATTGTGGGTTGCATTAGCTTAAGATCTGGTTGTGACATGTCAATCTCTGGCCTCTACTCAGTTGGAACCGCCAAGTGCAGGATGCTGTCAGCAAACAGAGCTTTTCTCGCTCGTTTCGTCGTTTCCCGCTTCGACGTTACGAAGCGGTGCAGGCAGCGGTTCGACTCCGAAGCTTGGACCAATCGCCGCTGCAAACCCCCGCCGTGTGCGAGGGCAACAAGGTGGGATGTTGCCGTCCATTCGCCGATCGGAAGATCAAAGGGGATAAAGCTGCGAGTCTCAGATGCTGAGGTTTTCCAGGCAAATGGCATGGTACCACTTAAAATGGCAATGTGTCATTCTCGAAGAAGCGCCCAGATGAACCGTCTGGAGTTTTAAGGGACACGTTGCGATTCAATACGTCTTGAAAGGCTCGTCCACGGCAGGTCATCCTTAACATCAAAGAAGAGCACATGCATCCCGATCCTCAGACCTTTGGCAGCAAGTATGAGTTTTGATAGTACTGGCATGTACTGGCCATGATTGAGGCTTTGCGTGGAAACTTCGGTGTGTTGAACAACTTCAGCAGCAAATACCAAGACTTGCCAGCTAGCCGGCAGAAAACGACAGCAAATTCAGAGCACTCATATCATCTTCCTCGCCAATTTGGCCTGTGTCTATGTGCTTTAGGTTCGTGAACTCCTCCGTGACCTTCCGCTTCCAGATGCGTTTTACCAACCCTCGTCGGCCACCACTGGACTATGAGAACAACTGGATCATGTTGCATAGTCCCAGGCTCAGGGCATTTTGCATTGGGAAGTGGAAGAAGGAAGCACCACATCAACAAGTTGCCATTCACGCCTTGGAGATCCTTGGAGCATGCCCTAGAACAGATTCTATTGGAGGGCTACTCGGCAAAGTCCATTGAATCTTGCAAAAGGTTTTGTCAGCAGTTGCAGAATCCCTAGTCCTATCCTTTGCCCTTAGAACGATTACTTGGATGCATGACGTGGAAGAAAGCACTCCACCTTTGGAAGAAGTGTGCCTCCTCACAACTGCTCGAAGCTCTTTTTGTGTACTCGTCCGAGATGCACGTGTTCTTGTTTGAACTGCCAACTCCTCCGAGCATGCTATTTAAATGGCATGTTTAACTTCTCCACAGAACTCATAGCGATAGTCTCCAACCTAGAAGCGATGGCCTCCAACCTACTAGCAATCTATATACAAAGCATTTTTTCAAGCATTTGCTTACGTACCCCACTTGTTGGGAGACCCGGATTTGAGGTCGAACCGTCAGCATGGACTCCGATTCAGATGCGATCCTTTCCTCTGATGCCGTGCAGAGTTGGAATGTCACGGCCTCGGAAAGCGAAAGGTTAGGCCGCAGTTGTCTCAACCAGATAGCGAGCAGTTAAATGATGACCATAGACTGCTATTGCTTGAATCAGTGTATCATGCATTATGTGATGCATTCTGCATTCTTCTATATTCTTCTCCACTGGCCTTTCCACCGTGTCTCCTCCTCCTGTCTTGAAGCCAGGTGCGAAGCAAGCTGCGATACATCACCATCAATCGGCTCACCGAGGCAGCCCAAAGGGAGCCACATTGACATATTGATGAGAGAGGAGAAAAGAATAGAAAAGACACACTCTAAGGTTGAAACATTTAACACCAGATAGAAAGGGCCATGCAAGTGGTAGAAAAAGAACCTGTGAGTGATGCTCTGTATAGTGGATGGAGGAGAGAGAGATGCTCGACCACATGTGACTGGCAGGTGCTACGGCCAGAAGATGAGGCTATCATCCACTTCGAGTTTGTGACGGCCGGGCGGCAGGGGTTCGTGTCGGAGTCTACAAGGATCCTTATATCATTCCTTTTTCTCTTGTTCTTTCTTTCTTTAGATCGTTCTTCCTTTCTTTTCTTTCAGAATTATTGTCTTGCAAACTGGACTTGACGTAGAATGACATTCGCTCAGATGCTACTGTAGGCTTTGTATTGGTTGGACCAATCTTTTGTCATCCTAAGCAGTCTGGCAGCCAGACCGCAGAGGACTTCAGGATCCTCAACACATTGTCAAATAATAAGCCGTCAAACAGAATCAAAAAGTATGTGCTAGTCACACGGATTTAGAAGGATTGATCCATCGAAAGGTTTGAGCGCACCGAAGAAAGGCGACACAGCACAGAGAGTGCATCAGGTGGCAAGATTGGTGTTGAAAACATCAGCTTTGTTCCAACATACATGGGACATGGCTTGCCTTCGAGGAATCAACGCTCAATATATTTCTTGAGACTTCAACGAGAAGGTGATTCTATCGAGGTAGCAATCCTCACCCTTCCGCGATCGAAGTCGGTCGGGTCAATCTCAAACAAGTGGAAAGCGCGAAGCGCACGAAGGTTTTCAACCGCAAGGTCGAAAGGTCGTAACCTACCGTGTCTCAAGGGCCCTGCATTGAGCCAGGACGACAAATGTGCAAGAAATGTTATGGCCTTTCATGATTTAACATTGGTGCATCAACACGGGAGAAGAGGTCTTTGGTTTTCAACCTCTTGGAGAAAATTCAAAAAGGACTTCGGACATTTTGGACGTCCGGCTCAAGGGCTTTCCAGGGAAGTCATTTAATCCCTGTGTGGATAGAACTCATCACTGTGCAGCCAGGCTCCATGCTGACTCCATGGAAGCTGCACATACCGAGCTGGCACACGATCTCGGTCGTAGTGAGTCGGAGTTTGGCATTGACGATCTTTCAGCTCACCAGCCAAGTAACGCTGAGCATGCGTCTTCTCGACTCGATTGGTTTCATTGGCCAGCTTCAGCTTCTTGACCTCATAGTTCAGCTCGCTTGACATGACCATGTAGTCGTTCATGAAGCGGATCCATTGTTGGATTTGGTGGTCGCTGAAGTCACTCTTTCGTTTTTGGAATGTACAAGTTCGTGTACCAGGTCTTTGTGTTTGTGAGGAGTCAGTTCACTGTGGAAGCTGGAGAGGAAGAGCATTCCTCAACCCAAGGTCCGGTCGTAACCTTAGGTTCGAGCCATGGCGTGGTTGGCGCTGAGCAGAACTTCGAGGACAACACGGAGGTCGCGAATGATGAGTATCAGAGCTCAGAAAGTTCCACTGAATCATGTGTGGGGCGAAGTGAATGGGAACGATGGCAAAAGCTCAAAGAAGAAGTCGAAGGTGAAGAAAAGCAGAGAAAACGGCGAAACAAAGCATCACAGTGTAGACAAAAGTCCAGTCGAGCCCATCACCACCTGAGATTTCTGCAGCTTCAGCACCTGGCGTAGAAGTAAGTGCCAACGTGGTCATGGCGACCTTGGCTGCTTTCTGCCGCACTTCTTCTCGTGGTTCTGAGTGATGAAGGTGCTTGTAGTAGTGGCGCCGACTGCAGTACTTCGTCTTCTTTCCATTGAGGATCGCCGCATCTTTCTCACATCCGGGCAGGACTTCTTGTTCTCTTCATCTTCAAACAGGATCTCCTGTCCAAAGAGCTTCCTTAGCCTCTTCATGCTCTGCCAATTCTTTCTCCTTGTCATCCTTGGTCACCTTCTTGGCCGCGGTGTACGATGGATCGTACTTGAGCTGGTGAACTCCTCTCTTCAGCTGCAGCACGAAATTGTCTCGAGCTGATGGTTTGGTCAGCCCATCGGCCAACTGCTGGGCTGAGTTCACCCACCGCCAATAGCCAGCCATCGCCTCCAGTCGCTCTCTCACAATGGCCACTTCTATGGCCGTCCTCTTCTCGGCGAGACGAAGTCCTGAGGAGACGGATTTCGCTGAGTCGAACAGGCTCCAGGCGTCAGTGATCAAAGGCGTCTCACCAAACAAGCGACCTTCACCCACTCTGTCTCATCCACTGCACCTGCTGCAGACTGGGCTTCAGCACTGAGAGACGAGCGACACATTCGAGGGAGTTTCCTCGATTGCCAGTCGATGGTGGTCAACGGAAAGGGGCGTTCACTGTCCAGTTCCGAGGCCGTGGCAATGAAGATCAAATAACCACCTTGCGAAGATCCGTCCGGCCTTACGCTCCAGGATGCGTCACAGTAGACACCGAACCTCAGCTGTTCAAAGCTTTCTCCATGCTTTCGAAGAGTGAGCACGTACTCCTTCACCATCTCTTTTGCGAACCTGAGGGTCTTCTTGGTGTTCAGACAATCCTGGATTGTTGGTGCACTCGAGCTAGCCGGGTGAATGCTCACAGAAGCGGCCAGCGGCGGTAGACATTGTCCTGAAAGCCAGGCTAACGCTCCGATCAGGGCTCGGAGGTGCTTGTGCTCTGAGCCTTCCAAGGGTGCATCTGGAGTGCCCTTGCGAACCTTCTCGACTGTGATCGGCTTCAGCTTCGTGATGTACTCCTGAAGTGACAACGTGATGGAGTCATAGTTCAGGCTCTGCTGGATTGCAGTCCCACAGAACATCAACTTCTCATGTTCACCAAAGTCCCAGGTTTCAAACCGAAACCTCTGCGCGAGCAAGCGCACTCGACTTGCGAAGTTGATCTGCTCTTCATATTCAGCCTTCTTGGAACTGCTCACATCGCTCACCCAATGCCTTCTCCAGCCCCCAAGTGGTCATCAACGTGCAATCCTAGAATGCCGTCAACCAGGAAAACTTCTCCATCCTTGTGGATCTGCTGGAACTCGGGGTCGTGCTCTGTGGCCTTTCGCAGGGACAAGTACAAGCAGCGGTCGAGTGGGTGATGCGCAAAGAGGTATTCATTCACCATGAAGCTGTCTGCAGTGCTGTGCCATTGTCTTGGTGCCCTGCATGACGTCACCGAAGGCCGGATTCATCATCTTTTCAAGTCTTCTTCGCAGGTCACTTGATGGCTTGATGTAGATGCGAGTGGTCTCATCGATCGAGTCGGCCTGCGTGAATGCACTCTTCACATCGGCTGAGAGGACTTTCCACTGACTCTGACATGCCCACTGGAGGGTCAACATCTTGCCGACTCTGGAGAGCGTAGGAGGAGTCTCGAGGTCATTCTCCAGCACATCCTTGTGGCGGAATCCCTGTATCACGACCCGTACATTTGCCACAGGTCCTTCCTTGGTCGGCTTCCACCTCTTGAGCGTTCTTGCTGGAATCAGCTCCCTCTCATCTCTCATCTGAGGACTCCTTCTTTGGCTCTGCAGCTGCGTGTTCTGTGCTGCATGTGGTTCTGCGGCTGTCGCGTTCTGAGCTGCATCTGGTTCTGCGGCTGCCGTGCTTTCTGCTGTTGCTTGTTGGGCTGAAGCTTGTGGTTCATCCATAGGCTCATCGTCAGGAGGATCCGGACTATCCGGCTTGGCCATATCGACATCAGGCACGGCCGGAAATTCCTGGTGTGCCGGGGACTCTAAAGGTTGTGCAGCTGGTGTTGGTGATGCGTGAGAAGAACCGGGTGCCCCAAGATTAAGAAATCGAACGGGACCACGCACCGGATGCAAAGCCTTCTGAAGTTGTTGTGTCAAAGGACCAGCAGCTACAGAGTCGGGCATGAGCTCCAAACGATGGGCTTTCTCGCGAGGATTCTCGGGACGGACATGCTCAGCTGCAGCTCGTACCAAAGAACTGCCGTGGGCCAGCCAAACACAGGATGTCGTGTTTGTGTTGGGCTGTGGCTCGAGCATGCGCGCAATGGCTGGGCCGCGCCAGCGTTGAATCTGGAGTTTCTCATCGCCTGAGCGCCAGTAGTAGGCCCAATCTCCCGCGGTGACCTCGGGAGGTGCAGCTCTTGGTCGTGCAAGAAGGGCTCGACGCAAAGTAGCATCATGATTGGCTGCATAGAATGCTTTGGCGGCTGCATGCCTCAGTGAGTGGTCTTCCTGAATGGCATTCTCATAGTCTGGTCTTGGATCATGCGGTTCGCCCATGAGGCCAGCTGGATGATTCGGTGTACTGCCAAAGACAATCTGGCTGGGTGATGATCCATGGATCGAGCGAAGCCGATTCCGTTGTTGACAAGACATGGGGATAGCCAGCTTCGTCACGTAGCAACTTGAGCAATTGAAGGCGTCGTACAGCAACGATGCCCATTTTGTGGTGAGCCTCCTTTGGCACCAAAAGCATTTTGACACCATAGTCATTGAGGCGTTGCTGAAATCTCTGAGACATGTGGGCGCCTGAGCTATCAGTACGAAGCTTGGCTGGTGCGCCAAAGATGCAAAACCATTGGTTTTCCAGAGCTGCAAGTTCTTTTTCTTCAGTCTGTAGCAAACAGTTGATCTCATAGCGGGAGAAGACATCAATGGCTGCCAAGATGCGAATCCGCTTGTCCTGCCACTTGACATGAAAAGTATCCACCTCCATCAACTCATTGAAGTGGCTAGCCTGTGGTAGGGATCCAGGCTTGGCAAGCTTTCGCTGAACATCAGAGCTGCAGTTGCCACACTCATAGGTCTTAGCGACCTGCGTGACCTCATCAGGGAACTTGGCATCTTTGAGAGCCTTGCAAAGTTTCTCATTGCTTGGGTGTCCCAGCTGCCGATGCAATTTGCTGACGACTTGGGCTGCTTTTCTTCCATGCGTCTTCATGAGTGCCTTCTCTTCTTCAGTGACTTGATTCGTTTTCGTCTCCTTTTCCATTTGTTCCACATCCATTTCTTCAAGCTCTTCTGAAACGAAGATGCGCACTTAATTCTCTTCCATGTCCATCATGATGGCGTCAGCTGCTCGCCGGGTGAATCCAGGTTCGTAGTTTTGCATGGATTTTAAGGCTTTGGACTTGCCATCCATTTGAACATGATCACCTCGACGTTGACATGGTAGGTCAAGAGCTCGAAATAGGTGGTGACTTCCAGTTCGAACTCTGGTTGTCTTCTTCACCGATCACCTTACCTTTAGGATTCTTGTACACCAGACCGGTGCGGCAGCGATCACAAATCGCATCGACCAAATTTTCGTTCATCCTGTTTAAGGCCTTTGTGCTCCACGATGCGGCCCAGTGTGGTTGTTCCAGGCCAAACCCAATGTCCCCATCATCACATACATCGGACACATCAGCACTGAACTCCAAGTGATTGTCCTCCTCCCGTTGTCGATCAGCTTCCAATTTCTTCTTGGCCTCTGGGGAACGAGCAGCCAAGTTCTGCATAGTACTCCATTTTGTGCATGGAGGTGCCAACCAAACGAAGTGAGGTCGTTCAGATCGAAGAAGTGCCAAGAAGGTTCTCCTCGCCTCTTTCTTTCCAAAGTCCCACTCAGGCAGTGAGGAAGTTGCAACCGTCACGTTTGGCCGGTTGGCCAATTCCATGGCCAGATTTCCACCATCCACATAGAGCTCGAAGTACAGAAGTTCTTTGTCCATCATGGCCTTCTCGACAATGTGGGAGACATAGATCTCTTGGTCCTTCAGTTCCAGTACTGCTTCATCATAGGTGTCCGTCACCTTCTCTTCCAAGGGGATCTCGACGTTCCACAACTCTCCAAAGATCTCCTCAACCACGTGGACCTCAGCATATTGCCCAAGAAGATTGAGAACATAGTGTCCTTGATGTCCACGCTCTGGGGTGAACCATTCACCATCCATCACTTGCATACGACCTGAGGCGAAATCACGCTTGACTTCCAGGCCTCCAGGGTTGGTCGTGACAGCAAGAAGGGCGTCCGCCCCGGGACCTCTGCCTTTCCATGAGCTTCTTCCTCCTCCATTGTCGTCCGGCGGGATGGCCACCACGGGATAGAATCCTCTTGACAGTGCCAGTTCTCGCATTCTTCGCCTGCTCTCCAAGTAGCTGATGTAGGCCTCATCGCATTGATCATAGGCTTCATCCAACTCTTCTGACCATTCTTCATCTTCTTCAGCCTCGTAGGCACCGTCATCTCATAGGCCTCCTCGTCATCGTAGACCTCCCATTCTTCCTCGTAGAAGGTTTCTTCCTTGCCAGAAGTGCGAAGATCTTTCGTGTTCGGCTTGTGGTCTCCGCCGAACATCTTCATCAAGGCCTTTTGGACTTTCTCATACTCAAGCTCGCCTTGACAGAGGGCCTTTATCTGGACATGAGTCCCCTTTGGAACACCTGCACGGGTCATGAGATGCCAGCCAGCGAGGAGATTTGGTAATTGCACCTTCACTTCATTCATCTTGGTCATCATGGTGCGATGCCTCACTAGATATGCTTGCATCTCCTCATTCTTCAGGCGGCTGAACTCCGTGAAGAATTCATCACACCGTGCTGGAAGTTCCACTTCATGCTGGTACTGGTAGATGCTGTCCAGAATCGCATAGATGGGCTTGAATGGAGTTGAGCTGCTCTCCAAAGCTGAGTAGTCCATTGCCTCCGTGGCCTCCCAGGCCAGGTCATTCAACCGGGAAACCAACAGTAGTGCTCCTTCAACTGCTGCTTCAACTGAGCGACGATGGCATTAACGCTCAAATAGTTCCAATCTTCGACGAAAGCTTCTGTAGGATCGCTGGGTCAATTCTTCTGTTGACGGACATGCTTTGGCGAGTCCGCCATCCAAGCCACGAACTGGAGGAGTATAAGGTAGTTGTTCTCCTGCTCCAGTGCGGGAACCATCTCGTTCTCCTCCTCCTCGATGTGGCTTTCCGTTGCCTCTACCTGACATGGGCGTGCACGGTCTTTGAGATGATCACACTTGCTTCCTCTATGAGGATCTTCAACAAAAGCGCAGTGATGTAGTCTCACCCAAGGCAAAGACAGTCTGGAGCGTGCCGGGCTCCGCTACCAATATCGAGGTAGCAATCCTCACCCTTCCGCGATCGAAGTCGGTCGGGTCAATCTCAAACAAGTGGAAAGCGCGAAGCGCACGAAGGTTTTCAACCGCAAGGTCGAAAGGTCGTAACCTGCCGTGTCTCAAGGGCCCTGCATTGAGCCAGGACGACAAATGTACAAGACATGTCATGGCTTTTCATGATGTCATATTCGTGCATCAACAGATTCACTATTTCCTCTTACACCATCCACCGTTTTCTTAATCCGATCTTCGTGCGATTGACCGGACTGAGGTCAATCCGGCGGACCAATTGGTGATCTATGCCATGAGCCCTGAGGGTTTCGACTTCACCACGGTTTTCTTGGAGTCTCCGGCAGATGGTGGGGAGCCAAAGAGACATCTTACAGTGAACTGATATCTCACCGACGCATGGATGAGAGAAATACGTGTAGCAGGCATTCTGCTGGTTTGGGGTCTAATCTCTGGAAGCAGCAAGGAGAGAGCCAATGGTAACGTCTTTGCCCAGAAGTTTCGGTGGAGCCAAAGACGTGTGCTCACACACTGGGCAGGCACAGACTCGGGAAACAAGCCTCCGAATGTTTGGAGCTGAGGTGTGAGACAGCCCGGAGGTAGCAGAAATCTTGTCTCCATAGGTATTCTCCATGGAAACAATCCAAACCTAAGGTCAAAAACCTGTTTGACAACTGCAGTTGAGGAGAACGAGAACGATTGCAATTCATTAATTTCACTGTTCCTTGGGGTGCCACGGCATGCTAACACAGCTCTGTGCTCAGGTGGGTCGACGCCTGCTTTGGAAGGGATTCACTGGTGGCATCGTGGTCCAGGATGGATACAGGAATGAGTGCACCCTCAGGACAGGGATGCTGCGAAGAATTAACAGCTTGGCACACGGTGATGTCGTGCTTGCTGACAGGGTTCTGTTGCGCAATCTTGCATCAAACAAGGATCAAGTGTATTGTCTTCCAAGGAAGCGAGGGCGGTCCACGAACGAACCCAGCCTTGGAAGGATCCCAGGGTCCCAGCAACTAGTGAACGCATGAAAATATGCCTAGGTCCAAAGGCAAGCACCCACAGCACCACAGCCAGCCATCCGCACTCAGTCGGTGTTGCCAGTGAACTGGTTGGGGCTTAACGCAAATAAACAAGTGTCCCTATCTTTGACATCAAATCCACGAGTGGTGGGCTTGGCAGGGTCAGCTTTGACAAGAATGAGTACGTGCGTTTCCAGCTGGGCGGCATTCGGATTCCCTGGATCGGTGGCCAGGTGCGGGGACATCTGGAGGTATTCAGTTGCTCAACTGAGGACTTTTGAGCGACTCCCAGACATTCCCAGACTTATACAAACACCTTAGAGACAATTTGATGAGCACCGAGAGGTAAAAGAGGCATTGAAATTGAAACGGTTTGTTCTTTCATGTTCTTTCACTGAATTTTGCCGGATGATATTGGTTCAGTTCGTCGATTATCGAATTACTTGGTAGATGAATGTGGAGCAAGAGGAGTTTGTCCATCACCGAAGTCATTCTCCTTCCGAAGAAAGGGTCGGAGAACTCACAGACCCATTGAGCTCATTTTGCAGTGGAGTAGCCTCAACCTGCCAGGCGCTCTTCACCATGCACACCAGTGTCAGAGGCTTTCGCCAGGCAAGGACCAATTGTGAGGTTAGGAATCGGAATCAGGATGACCTAGACATGCCGGACCCATATCTGATGACCCAGGTCGGTGGATGACAAGGGTACATCTCATGCTCACTGTTCCCAGGATGAGATAGAGATGTGTTGCTATGTGGCAGCCCCAGCGGGAGCCAGAAAGTTTCGATGCGTTGATGCGTGTTGACCTCCACCCGTTGCTTAGTTGCTGACAGGACGATAGTCTGATCTGACAAAGTATGGTTTCTCGAGTCATTGGCTTTGTACCTGGAAAGGGGTGCTAAGAATTGGTGAGCGCTTTTGTTTGACGAGACCCTCCGACTTCAGACGCTGATTGGGTGCTAGGAAGGGCAGCCAGTGGAAAATCCGGCTGTGGTGTTCAAGGCAGGGTGGACGTAGGGTGATGATTGGAGTTCCGGGAATAGATTAGTCATATGAGTACTAACAAGAAGCTACTAGGAACAAGTGCATCGCTTCTAGTAACAAGTGCCTTACTAGTAGTAACAAGAAGCTTCTAATTTAATCATATGAGTCATATGGGTTATCATCTTGGGTTCACCTTGTTTGATGAGCTCACTTTGCTCGTGTCTCACTGGGGTTGGTCTTGTGGAGGTGTTGCCAGGGAAGGAAATAGGTCTCAGTTGACCATGCAGCCTTGCTTCGATTTTCTGGGGCACAAAGCCAACGTTGCTCTGTTGCTTATTTACTTTTATTTCTTCTGTCCATATAGGAGAGCACAAGAGTGTGCAAGGCTCAGTGGCACCAGGGTGGAGGCTTCAATGACAACCCTCCGACTGTGCAGGTGCCATTTCGATTGCAGGGCCTGAGGGCTGTACTCCAGAGCGAATGGGATCAAGAGGCCTTGAAGGGTCCACCGAACTAGCAGCATTCTGACAGCTTTGTCTATACCGTACCTATATAAATCAAAAGAAACAAAACAACATACATTATGTTCCACCCGCTGCTGGTGTTTGTCAAGGCCTGTGCAGAATCTTCCTTTGTGTTGTGCTTTCTTTACTGCATTTGATCGATCTTAGGCTTAGCCGGTTTAGCCTCAGAGTTTGGGCTGCTCCCACAGCTGCTTTGTGTTCAGGCTTTCAACTTTCCCATTGCCTCGAGCATGAAGACAAGGCTTCGAATTCTTGGTGTACCAGTCTATGAACCGGGGTGTGGCCAAGACAAGTCTTCGGTTAGTGCAAAGCCAACTGGATGATAGCCAGGGAAGCAACTGTGAGCATGTGATTGCCAGCGCGACTTGGAGGAAACTCGCAGCTGAGGATGCTGTTTGGGTGAGACGGTTCAGTGAGTTCTGGCAGGTTGGACGAACAGCACCTCGTCACCTTCACCTTCCAGCTCGCAGCTCCCATCGAGCTAGCCCCGCCAGTGACCTGCCCTAATTTGGACCTTTGTGAAGAAACAATTGCTCCTAGTAGTAAGGCCAGGAGCTACTAGTAGCTTCTTGTTACGTTCGTAGCGATTGCTCCGTTCGTAGCTTCTAATGCCAAGAATGCCAAAGGTACATGGGCTTTGGTCATTTCGGCTCACGACCTCACTCCGTTCGTACTTACCGTGCTTTTTTCGGGCTCACGGTACTCACAGTCCTCACGACTTGCTCCCTGCGCTCTCGAGGCCCGACGACTGGTCTTTGTCGTCCGGGCACCGGTCGGCTACTTTGCCCCTCAGCGAACGATATGAAAATTCGGGGATCGTTCAGTGATTCCATGGGATTCCAAGTGATTCCAAGTCTGATTGTGTCTCCTAGTAAAACCAAATGTGTCGGATCGTAATGTTATACGTTTGATGGTCCAGCAGCAAGAATGTTTCAAAAGGTTCTTCACTCATCCAATTAACTGGTTGAACATCACGCAGGCATGGGCAAGCAAGCGTGAATCTGACACCGATGTACCTCGAAATGCGTTGTGAGATCTTGCTCTCCGACGACTTGATGGATGTGAGGGACAGTTCGTTTCTGGTCGAGGACTGGGTCAAGGATAAGATGGGCTTGCAAACATGTGGGATTAGGCCCCTTGTTGAACAAAGACGCTACAGCGGCACCACCACTCAGCTCAAGTCCCCCTTACAAGTGCGTGATTGCTGGTGACGAGATGCTCGCCAGCAGCCGGAAAGATTGTCTTGGTTCATCAGAGCAATGCGTATAGTGGCATATAGTATAGGAACCCCAAAATGCTACCCTCGAAGAATGTTGTTGCTTCACCAACTGGCAAACGTATGACTTGCTTTGTTTCAAGGCTCCGCTGTAGCAGTGCAGTGTGTGTGTGTGCAGTGCGGAAGATCTGCACCAAGTGCTGAAGATCCAATGCTAAATATCTTGGGCAAATGCAGAAGACTAACGTCTGTTTTTGCAACTTAGTACTGCGAGGCCAAGAGGCCAAGAGGACTTTGGCCACTGCAAACAGCCACACTGCAAATGAGTCGAAAGGCACAGAGCTTACGTCCATTGGACGTCCATTGGATGACAATGGCTTAGTCTGAGCGAAGGACCAAGAGAAAGAATCAGCCTTTCCTCTTTGCACATGTATTTGTGGAGCTTTGTACAAAGGGTCATACATCTCAGTATCGACTGCGACAGCAACTTAACCATGGGACATCCGTCAATCTCACTGTAAACCGCCGTCAACCTTCAGCGACAATTTAGATCGCTTAGTAGTACCATGTGGACATCAAACAGAATGCTTGAGTGCTACTCTGACAGACGCTGTTTGTGTGGTCCAAGACACACAGACAATATAGATGGAGAATGATGGAAACTAAAGGTTGCCACGGTTGCAGTTCGCACCAGTAAATGTATTCACGTCGCTTCGCGACGGTAACCGCCCGCACCGGATGGAAGGGGACAATACATCCACCGAGTCCCGGAAGGAAGCCCGAGCTGCTTGTGCTCTTGGAGCCAAGGGAGTGAGTATGAAAGGAAGTGTCCGACATAGCGTCCATATTGTCGGCCCCAGAACGGCTCCCCCCCCAACGTGGCTGAACATAGCTTCCATATCGCCTGGAACGTCGCAAATATAAGGTCCAACTGGAGCAGAGAGAAGCAGAGTCATCAGGGGAAGGGATGATGTGGTATTCGATGGTTCAAGGGCCTTTTCAAGTAATCGTGGCTGCTGAAGGGCCGCCACCACTGCCTCGGTCCCTATCTCGCAGACACGTCCTTTCGGTAGTGCCTTCGAGCGCTCGGTTAGACAATATCTGCACGCTATTCCAGTCCCTTGGGAGCCTTCGTTAGACCATGTTTACGA